TTTTATGGTTCACTTTTACAAATTGTTTCATCTACTTCTACCCAAAATGATTTAAGTTTTTTCTATTTTTAATTTCAGGGCTCCGAAATGCATGCACACATTCTGGACCAGTTTATCAACAAGTTTATCGGGATTTTTAAGGAAGGTCGAGTATGTGCTGTCAAGAACTATATGGTTGAGGAAAATTATATGTTTTTCAAAACTTCGACAAGCGCCTATAAGCTTTGTTTCTTTAACAAGAGCGCCGCTTTTGAGATCAAAGCAGTCCCGTTCCTTTATGTATAAGAAAGTTTAGGGATTATGCATTAGAAAGTTCATAGATTATGCATCATGTGAGTAAAAAAAATACAATGATCGTGTGAAAAAAAGATTTTAGTGCACTAAATGTATTTGAAACAATCCAGTTTGTAAAACATGTGGGTTTTACTATTGTACATGAAGGCATAAGTTTTTATGAGTTGAACGAATAAGAAAAGTTTAAGACAAGCTTTTTTCACAAAAAATGTTTTGGAGAAGACTATGGTTTTGCTTTCATGTATTAGTCTAATGTAAGCTTGATCATAGGGTATGGAAAATGGCATGCTTCAATTCATTGGTTTTAAAATTGAATTTTGAAATATCTCCATGATAATATGATATTATTTCACCTGTGAACCCTATGTGTCCTAATTTTTTCTGAGAATAATATGTTTTTAAGTAAAAATATAAAAAATTTGGATGAAACATAACCTTCTGCACACTTTAAGTTAGGGCTAGAGAAATAAATTCATTGTAAAAGCAGTAGAAGTGCATACCTGTGGTCTGATCCGGATGAGCTTGCGGAGGCCTAAATCTAAACTATATCTAATTATTACATTTAGAGACCCCCCCCCAAAAAAAATTATGCAATGTAATAATAATTCTTCTAGACCGAGTTCTTATAAGCATCAAAGGATTCCCTGCATTTTCACAGTGAGATATTAGGTTAGATATCATCAAAACTTCAAATCTTCCTATTTTGCGAAATTGTGAATTATGAAGAACTACATTCATTCCTTACAGTAAAATTGCAGAACAAGTTTTCCAGAAAAACAGGATTATTTTAAGGCACATTACCATATTTGCCACGCCCCCTGATTGGCTGGCATGTCAAGGGCAGGTAGTTTCACCATGGCATTTCTTATATTAGTTTTTATTAACAATACAAACATTATTAAACAAATTTGTTTTATTTCATATTAGAAACATTACTCACCAGCCAATTGTTATCAGTTGGCAGTTCTTATAATTGTGTTTATTAGAGATATAAAGACATTTACGCCTGTTTAGGCCAATTATATTCACTTGGACAGCTCTGTAGTGGAAATGTACACACCAGCCAAGTGTCATTTTTTAAAAATATGTATCCAATAATTGTCTTTATTAGAGAGCTGTCCACTACATGTTTTAACAAATGACACTTAAAATGTATATACCTGTAGTGGAAATGTGCTTAAATTTTCTGGAGTAGGATCTGGTGTGTATGAATTTATTGGATACATATTTAAAAAAAAATAAAGAAATACTTTAACAGATGTTATCTTGCCTGCTTTTTTGCACCGATTTCTATGCTTGACAAACTGCCACGTGCAGAGAGCTCAGCTTCCCCGTTTTCCTCCAATGCATTTAAAAAAAATAAAGTGTTAACAGATAATAGAAAGAAGAGGTAATTAATGAGATTGGAGGTTAAATATAAATGGGTGAGTATTGTGTACCGTCTATGGCGCACTACGGTTTCCTCAGCCTTTCTCCTTCGATGGGAATCACTGTCGTTGAATTAATGTTATTTTGTTGAACTGTAATAATGTTCGAGAGGGAAGAGTGTGTGTTGTGTGGGTGGGTGGTCTCAGTATGGTGAAGTGTGGTCTAAAAAATAATAAAGGTGTGGTGGTTGGGCCGGCGGGTGGGTTTAGGGTCTGGGAGTAATTAAGTCATGGGGGTTGGGTGTAGGATGGTTTAATAATGTTCAAGAAGAGTGTGGTTGGTTGTGCCAGAATAATAAATTCTGGGTAGTGGTTGGTTGGGCGGTGAGGTTTGAAAATCGAAAGTGCGTGGGCCCAGTTCACTCATTTAATTGCGTTGTTTTTTCAGAGGGTTGTCTAAGAATTATTCTACTGCTCTTATTCTACTGCTCTTTCCCAAAATTAACTTCACACTTCAAAACTTTCTTATTTGACAAATTCAGTGCAAAACAGTAAAGTCAAATTTATTTAAATATATGTGTAGGTCAAAGTAGGAAATTAATTGCGGGACGGAGATAGTATATTTTTAAAGTGGTATTTCTGTATTTCCGTTTTTCATGAAATGTGCTTTAGTTATCTGCAAGCTGGATTCTTCCGAATTTATTTTGCCTAAATTAAAATTTAACTTTAAAAAATCCATTAAATGTGTTATCAAAATTATACCTAAACTAATTCAGAATAAAAATTATAAAAATATATGTTTCCATACATTAAAATATATATTTTCGCGGTACTTTTTTGGATATTTTTTCCTGATATAATACAAGATTATAAGATCAGGCCCTGTGTGAAATAAGATGAAAAAATATTTTAGACTTTGATGAAACACTCGATTGCCCAAAAATAGCCTGAATTGCAGATTTAGCGACCAAAATCGAAAAAGGTTTTTACAACTTTTATAATTAAAATGATAAGGGTGCTATTATTTTCGTTGGGTAGCCTTTAACATAAGAGATAATGAAAACAAAAATTTACTGGCATTTGCATGTTGCACATCTGTAGGGTTTTAATTCATCTTGGTTTAAGTCGGTGTGTTTAGTGATTTTTTTCGTAAATAACTTATATTTTCTTTTTGATCGGTCGATCTAAAACCAAAAGGTATTGCTTATTGTGAAAAAATGAAAAATATTTAGCAGATCTGACGCATGAAGGTCTGTATTTTTTTTCTGTTTCAACTCTAAAATTTAAGGGTATTTTTTGTGTTGTGGACTGTGGGTTGAAGATGTTGTGTGCCCCGGTGTGTGTGCATGTTTAAAATGGTCCGAATAAGTGGTTGGGTGTGTTTTGAGAAGAGAAAAATTACCTTTGTCTCTGAGGTATAACCGGAGGGAGACCGCCGTTGTTGGTTGTAGTCGGAGACCGTCTGTAGCTCTGAAGGTGGCTTCGATTCCTTCTTCTCCGATCCGTGAGCTTTGTTTGTGTGAGAGAGGGAGATGTCTGGCTGTGGCCGTTGTTGGTTCTGGGCGGTGGATGTTTTTGGAGGTCTGAATGGCTCTGCTATTCTGTTCTCCGATCTGGAAGTTTGTTACAGTGAGAGAGGGAGAAGTTTGGTGTTGGCGTGAATGTATGGGGGTTTGTGGGGAATAGGTATTTGGCTTACGTAATAATCTTGGGTTGGGTAATTTCAGAATTTTCCTTTGGGCCGGCCCATCAGAGTGGTTTAGAGTTTGGGTTGTGGGCCTCATTGTTTTTGGAACAAATAATTAGTGCATGTTGTTTGACATAAAATCAAGATTATAAATATTAATTAATTGTTTTTTATGTTATTGTTTGTGTGGGATTAAACAAATATTTGCATTACATAATAATATTATTTTTTCCTTTAAATGGGTCTTTTTATTTTTAAATTTGGTATTACTTTTTTTTAAAATTAAATTAATCTGTTAATGATTATATGATGGGTCTCAACGTCGGGGAGGTTTCTAGCACGAATCTTAGTTCTGATAGCGTCTCAAAGGTAGATTCTACGACAGATCTCATGGCAGAACTGCACACCCCGGAATTCTTGAATAGCATAAAGTTGTCCGGTGTACCGAATCACATGTTGATGTTAAAGGTGAGCACCCCTGTCATGCTTCTAACAAATATTGATCATTCCATGGGTTTGTGTAACGATACTCGGCTAATTCTCACTAGGCTTTGCGATCATGTTTTGGAGGGGAGAATATTGACTGGTGTTAGTGCTGGACAGAAAGTCTTGATTCCTCTATTGTCCTTGACTCCCTCAGATGCAAACTTGGCTTTCAAATTTCAAAGTTATAGTACCCCATTATGATTTCATATGTCATGACTATAAATAAAAGTTAGGGCCAATCATTATCCTGTGTGACGTTTTTGTTGAAGAAACCTGTGTTTACGCATGAACAGCTCTATGTTGCGGTTTAAGAGTGACCAATAGACGTGGTTTGAAAATACTTACTACCTCCGTCCCTTAAAACTTTTCCAAGTTTGACCGGCACAGGGATTAATAAAGTAAAAACTGTGTGGTTGAGGTTTGTGCAGAGGAAAGAGAATTAACTGGAACCACAATTTTTTTACTTAAAATGGCAATTGACAAAGTTAGTGGGACATCCAAAAAAGGAAAGTTGACAAAGTTTAAGGGACAGAGGGAGTATATGCAATGAGGGCGGGAGGATTGCGAGTGCCACTCAAAATGTGGTTTATAAAGAAGTTTTTAATAACGTGTAGCGTTCCATTCAATTCCGTTTTAAAGAAATGTCTGTAGTTCTATGCAGAATGATTTTGGTTTAGTTTATGATTATATTTCTATGTTTAATATTTTCTTGATCTTTAATTGTGCACTATGTAACTGACTCCTAATTCCTTTTTTACTATCAATTAATTTTTTGCGAAGGTATTGAAAACATTTTGAAAGGAAGAAAAAATTAGATAGAAATTCACCGACCGTGCATCGCACGGGTGCCTACTTAATTTAATTAAAAAACTTTAACACACAAAACTGCTTCTTATTTCATACAGACAATTGTCGATCTTGAAACAATACAACTATGTTTTCTTCCATTTTGATCTAACACAAACATTGCTTAGTCAAAATTAGCATGGTATAAATATCTATTCACTGCGTAATATCTTTTGTAAAAAAATAATCATCTTTCCATTTCGACTCTGATCTTTATGTGTTTGTGTTTCTTTTTTACACAATATACAACTTTTATTGTATTGAATTTAGTATAATATTAACGTTCGTATAAAAAAAATGAAACAATGCAGCATGAATTACGCCTACACCCCCCACATATATTCCATGAACCAAAAACTACTAATTAACATAATATAAGGAACGTCAAACACCCTGCGGTTCGATGAGATTACTCTGACACTCCCAAAGATGAGGTCACAGATTCGAAAGTCATCCTAGTCAAGGATGTTGGTATTTAACAGAAGATATACTATAATAGATCATAAAGCATAGCAAAAAACATAACCTAAGGAACAAGCATGCAACTACACGTGAAAGACATGGTAATTTGGCATTAGTAGGAACTTGCTCTTTTCCAGAGTTTTTACCACTTTCAGTCCCCGGCTATTGTGTCGGTGACACTTTTAGTACTCAACTCTTAATTTTTCCATTTTTAGTCTCTAACTATTGTGCTAGAGACAATTTTAGTCCTCGACTTCAGAAATTCCTACATTTAGTCCCTTGAATATTATCAAATTGACACTTTTCCTTCCATTATGATTTTGGCACAAAAGTGGACTAAATATATCACTATTATAATAACTGAAGGACCAAAAGTGTCACTTTTGTGAAAGTCGAAGGACTAAATATGGAAAATTTCAAAGACGGGTACCAAAGGTGTCTCAAGCACAATAGTCGAGGACTAAAAATGGGAAAAATCAAATTTGAGTACCAAAAGTGTCGATGTCATAATAGTCGGAGGACTAAAAGTGGAAAAACTCCTTTTGGTTACCCTTGCTTTCATTCTATGAGAAGGTTAATTTGCCCCATTCTCCAAATAAAATAGTAAACGGGTTCTAATATAGGCTGGGTATTGGACTACATATGATTTTACATGTCAACAACCCCACCCACCCATCATTCATTTTCCCCGTCTTTACTTTCAACATCTTCCTCTACTGCCAACCTGGATTGAGAATCTTCTGCATTAAGAAGTGGAATATCAATGTTGTCACTGGCTGCTGTAAATCGACAGTCTCTATATGCCCCATCATTTGGTTCTGTTGTCGACACATTTTCTAGGCTTTTGACAGTTTCCAGCTGGGTTTGGCTTTGCCCTTCTTGATCATTGAACAATATTGGAGACGGAGCAGCAGCGATGTTCAAACCTTTAGAAAGACATACATATTTGAATACAAGTTTCTTGTAGTTATTTAGCAGTTCTTCAACATCACTGACGGTTAAGAAACCAGCCTGAGAGAAAAAATAAGGGAAAATCTGAAAGTAGTCGCTCATGTTGTCCTCCTTCATAATCATAGCTGCCCCTTTATTTTCTAGATCTGAGATTGATGGGATTTTATCAGTTGAAGGTTGATCCTTCGCATATTGTTCATCATTTCTGGATTTAGTTTCAGATGCCTCAGGCTGCAAAACAGTGGCATCACGTTTGGTAGTGTTCATGGCCTGTTTGAGTGCCTCTTCTCCAGAGTTTTGATTATTATGACCTAGTATATTATCTGAGTCTGCCATAAGGCCATACACAAGTGCTTGAGCAGATTTCATATTGCTGTCAAATTCAGTTTCATCCATGGATAGCGCCACTGCATCAATGTTCTTGATGAATGATTCTGCAGAAAGTATGTTCGTGAAATAGTAGGCTGCCTCTGACACTAAACGTGTTTCACGCCTAAACCGTTGTATGTATGCTAAATTAGAGTGCAACTGGGGAGGGTTTGCCTGTTCAAGACATCAATGTTAGTCACTGGAAAGAGCAATGCTAGGAGGGGGTGGCAGATTTTAATTCGCTAATTAACATTTTAGCACAAATTCTACAAAGGTTCCAATACATGTTAGAAAAGATGTGACCTCATGGAATTTTCTGTTGATACATGAAACCAGCCCCCTATGAGAATTAACTCTGTTATTGTAACTTGTTGCGATTGTTTTAAAATTTAGAGTAACTGAGACATGTTCATAAAATGATATTTAACAATTGAATCATTAAAATGATTCCCTATATATTAGGGTTATTGGGAAAAAATCCCTCTATTCCCCCACCCTGTCTTAGGATGGGGAAAGATAGGCCCTGTAAAAATGTATAGTTAGATTAATTTGTAGATAAATACTTAGTCTTATCTGATGTAAATCCCACACGTATGAGATAAAGATAGTTAGGTAGTCAGATCCTAATTTTTAGGATCTCATCATTTAGTTTGTTAGACTTGTATCCTATATATATTGTACTCGGGTGATGGAATAAATCAAGTCATTCTATTCTCTCAAACTTACATGGTATCAGAGCGGGCTGTTTAAACACCACAATGGTGGAAACCGAGCACTCTGGTTCTTCCCCTCACTCACAAACCCTTCACCCTAACTCCCAAATTAGCCAAATGACAAACTATCAGGCCTCGATTAATTCATCTATGCTCATTACTGGACATAGATTGAATGGAACTAATTATCTAGAATGGTCACAGTCTGTCAAGCTGGCAATTGATGGAAGAGGAAAGCTGGGATACATAACGGGTGAGATAGCAGAGAAGAAAAGTGGTGATGATGGCTACAGTGTCTGGAGGTCAGAAAACTCTTTGGTAACAGCCTGGCTTCTCAGTTCAATGGATGCATCAATCGCCAAACCTCACATGTTCATGAAAACTGCAAAAGAGGTATGGGATTCCATCAAAGAAACTTATTCAGATCTTGAGAACTCTTCTCAGATTTATGAATTAAAAACAAAGCTGTGGCAGTCCAAACAAGGAAGTAGAGATGTCATCTCATACTATAATGAGATGGTATCCCTATGGCAAGAGTTGGATCAATGCTATGATGCTGAAGAATGGGAGAGTGCCAAGGATCTGGCAAGACACAAGAAGAGGGAGGAAAATGATAGGGTCTATATGTTCCTAGCAGGAATTAATAGAGACCTGGATGAAGTCAAGGGAAGAATTCTTGGAAAAAAACCTCTACCTTCAATCAGGGAGGTATTTTCTGAAATCAGGGTGGAAGATAGTAGGAAAAAGGTCATGAATAACACTTCAGTCCATCATGATGATCCAGGAGAGTCCTCAGCAATGATTGCCAAAGGAAATGAGAAGAAAAAGCCTTGATGTGATCATTGCAAGAAACTGTGGCATACTAGGGAGACTTGTTGGAAGATTCATGGCAAACCACCTGGAGCAGGACAGAAAAAAGTTGAAAGGGCCCTACATACTGCCATACCTGAAACTGATCAAGAGCAACAAGTCAATTTCAAGCAGCCAATTTTCACCAAGGAGCAGATAGAGCAGCTCCTACAACTTCTTAATACCCAAAAGAACCCTAAATCAGAAAACCCTTCTTGTTCTTTTGCTCAGAATGGTAAAATTGCATCATTTTTCTGTTCTGGAAAACCAAATGCCACCTGGGTCATTGACTCAGGTGCAACAGACCACATGACCTCCATTTCCAATCTATACTCTTCTTATAAACCCTGTGCAGGGGATAAGAAAATAAAAGTTGCAGATGGCTCTCTTTCAGCCATTGCAGGAACTGGAAATGTTAAAGTTTCCACTTCTATTGACCTTTCTAAAGTTTTACATGTCCCAAATCTATCCTGTAATCTTGTTTCTGTTAGCAAATTAACCAAAGATCTTCAATGTTGTGTTAAATTCTATCCTTCCTATTGCATTTTTCAGGATCTGGCATTGGGGAAGATGATTGGCAGTGCTAGGGAAGAAGATGGACTCTATATATTTGATAAAGGGACTGAATCAAATAAACAAGGTCAAAGAACTACTTGTCTGCAAACTATTACGTTTCCCAGTGATAAGGAGTTGTATTTAATTCATTATAGACTAGGTCATCCTAGTTTCCATTATTTAAAAAAGTTGTTTCCTCAATTATTTCATAATAAAAATGTTTCACAGTTTCATTGTGATATGTGTACACTTGCAAAGCATCATAAAAATTCTTATCTTCCCCACAGTTACAAACCTACCAGCCCTTTTACTCTTGTGCATAGTGATATTTGGGAACATCTAGAATCCCTACTTTAAAAGGAAAGAGATGGTTTGTAACAATTATTGATGATCATACAAGAATGACATGGGTATTTTTGATCAAAGAAAAATCAGAAGTAGAAAATGTATTTAAGCAGTTTTATGCAATGGTCCAAACTCAATTCAATACCAATATAAAAATGGTAAGAAGTGATAATGGCCGTGAATACTTTTCTACAAACCTAAATCATTTTTTTGCTGAAAAAGGAATAATTCATCAAAGTTCTTGCATTAATACTCCTGCTCAGAATGGAATTGCTGAGAGAAAAAATAGACATTTACTTGAAGTTACACGTGCAATCATGTTTTCAATGAAAGTTCCAAAATATTTATGGGGAGATGCTGTTTTACATGCTACCTATTTAATAAATAGGATGCCATCAAAAGTTTTAGGGTTCAAAACTCCAATTAGTATTCTGCAAGAATGTTACCCTACTACTAGATTGATTAGCACTCTTCCTTTAAAAATCTTTGGTTGCACTGTTTTTATTAAAAATCCAGACAAAACAGCAAGTAAATTTGATCCTAGAGGAACTAAGTGTGTCTTTTTAGGTATTTCATCCACACAGAAAGGGTATAAATGCTTTGATCCTTCAACAAAAAAGATGTTTATTTCAATGGACACTGTTTTTGTTGAAAATCAAGTGTTTTTTGATACTCATCTTCAGGGGGAGAGTTTTAATGAAGATGCTACCAATGTGTCACATATTCATGACAATCTTGATTTTCTTGACATTAATCTAGATATGCATTCTATTAGAAACTTAGATGCATTAGAAAATGGTCAAGCATCAAAAAATAATGAAATAAATACAACTGAGAAACTGGGAGGTGAAGAACTGCAGATCAGTAAGTTCTTTGGCAAGGTTTATGAGAGAAAGGTTCCAAATCAAAGAGAAGAGGAAGTCTTTGAACCTACATCTGTTAATGAATCTGACCAGATGTCAGTAAATGAAAAAGGTAATGACTCAACTGATCTTGATTTACCTATAGCTCTCAGAAAAGAAAGAAGGTCATGTGTCAAATATCCTATCTCAAACCATGTTTCCTATTCTAGATTATCCTCTACATTTGCAACCTTTTCTTCTATTGTCTCCTCTGTTTCTATCCCATCAACCATACAGGAAGCTCTATCTAAACCTGAGTGGAAAAAGGCTGTTTTGGAAGAGATGGATGCTCTTGAAAAGAATCAGACATGGAAGGTTGTAGAGCTACCTAAAGACAAGCCCACAGTTGGATGTAGATGGATTTTCACTCCTAAGTTCAAGGCAGATGGCACTCTTGAGAGGTATAAGGCAAGGTTAGTGACATTCATGTTATTTCCGTGTTTATAATTGTGTTTTTGATTAGTTTTGAGTGATTGTTACTCTAGAAATTACACACTTTTGGTGTAATAGTTTAGTTTGTAAAATGTTTGTAAATTGTTTAGATTAGGTTGGTTCTGAGCTCAAACAGGTCCAAGACCACTCTAGGGACCATTGGTAAACATCACAAATGGAAGGAAGGTGCAAAGATTTCAAGAAAAGATGAAGATTCTGATTTTTGGTAGTGTACCCGGTCGAGTATGCTCTATACCCGATCGGGTAAGTTGCTGAAAAGTCAAATCGAATCAACCCGGGAACAAGGCAACATGCAGGAGGATTTTTTAACTCGATCGCGTATCCATACCCGATCGGGTGGCCGACATACCCGATCGGGTATGACCCCAGATTTTCAGTTTCGAGGAAATAACCCTTACCCGATCGGTTGGGCTGAAAACCCGATCAGGTACACGACCCTGCAGGCCTAAAAAGCCTATAAATACACCACATTTCCTCCACAAAAAAGACACCAATTCCTTTATACTCTTAAGCTCAGTTTAGAATAGCATTTCTCTATATTTCTTTTAGCATGTTTAGTCTCCAAATGAGGAGCTAAACTTCCATTTCTTGGTTTTGCTCTTGAAGCTTGATTGATTATTAAAGTTGTGAGTTATTTTCTTACTTTCTCCTCTTGATTATTAATTCTTCCCTTAATCTCATTCTATATCATTGTTGGAGGGTGGCTAAGTGACGATTAGTTAACGTTCCGACATTGATTATTACTAGAAACGTTCAACGAACCAATGGTTAAACGTTGAAGGTTTCATAAGTAAGTAACTTCGGTTTATTAATGCACGGTCGTGGTTAATAAACTTAAGAGGGATTAATTTTGTTAGTTAAACCGAAACCGTTGTGTTGAGGTTATCAATCTCAATTGATTTCATCAAGGAGTTAAAGAGGTTAAATGCTACTATTAAATCGGTATACGGCGTTGTTCTATATTTGGTTAATAGTAAGGGTTATTAATGAACGGTCGTTGTTAATAACTACCCTCGATGAATTGGATATACTCCTCGATTGAGTATTCGAGAGGGGATAAGTTATAGATATAACAATGATCGACTAAAATATATCAACAAGTGGAAAGTAGCAAGACCAAGTCCCTTTTACTCTTGAATTTAATCCCATATAAATCGTTCATCTTCGTGTTTAATTTAATTAAATCACTCAACAATCAAAACCCCCCTTTATTTACTATTTATATAAAAAGAAAGTTATTTCTTTCCCTGTGGATACGAACTCTACTTCACCTATACTACGTATAAGTGTTAGTATCGATTTATTTTGAGTGCACTCACGACAAAGTGCACGTCAAATTTGGCGCCGTTGCCGGGGA